GTGTGTGTGTGTGAGCATGTCACCATGTGCGTGTGTGCATGCATGTACGTACGTATCTGTGTGCTTGTTTGTGCGTGCGTGCACATTTGTGCTTGAATACTCAGGCTCTTCTGATGCTGGCAGCATGCTACTATGGCAGCATTCATTGTGTCCAGTTTTTACTCTGGTGTGATCCGTCGCTCTTGCACGGCAAAGTTATGTTCTATCCCAATAGTGAGCCACGAGAGGTGAGTACTGGTCAAAGTGCTCGGAGTGCTCGGCGTGAAACTATTTGTTCTGATCACTGGTTTGTTTATTCTTATAAACTGAGCACGTGCTCATCCAGCGTCACTTCGCTGTCAAAGATATTCCTAGAAAATTGAATGTTCCTCTGTTTGTAAATGTGGTGAACATTGCGCCTCAAAGCCATAATAGAGTAAAAGCTGTAACTAAAGACCAGCACCGTGACTAACAGCCAGCCTGCTGCTACAGACCACTTCGCCAGGCACGGGCGGTCTCATATACAAAAATGCACTGTGACAAGTAACTACCTGCTGAACGCATCCAGCGACCGCCTTTTCTCGTCCCAAAGTCGATTTGGACCAGTAAATAGCGACAGCAGTGCAGGAAATAAAAGGTTGTTCGAAGCTCCTTCTTCGAAACCTTGATGATTTTCTGTCCTGAATGGACTCTTTCGATACTACAGCTGCACGAATGAACGCAATCTCATTTTGACTAAGGGCTTCACTGCACCTGTCATAGTTTCAAGTGCTCTCATGAGCAAACATTATAGGAAACGTCTTGGAGAGTAATTGCTCGAACCTGCTCTATGATCGATGCTACTGCTCAAAGGAGAAATGGCATTGCGCAAGTGGTGGGAATTTTCATTAGCTGCATTTTGACATGCATATCAGACATGGAATTATGGTCGCGCGGTTCAAACCTGTAACTTAAGACCACATGCTACTAAGGCCGCGGTCACACCGAGCTCGATTCAGCCGTTCAGCCGAAACAAGCGCTTGTTTACGTCACTATTACCATGGAAATGGCTGAAAAATGTCCTACAAGCGACTTTCAGCCGTGGCTGACTCTCAGCCGTTTTTTTCCGGCTTGTTTCAGCCACAGCTTGTACAAGCGGCTGAAAGCCGAAATTCAAAAAATAATTTGAGTGCGCTTGGAGCTCCGCGAGCACACCATGTAGCTAGTTGACATGATGAACAGTTTAAAAATAATTTATTATTATTTAGTCTGATATTGATGTTCTTTCTTGTGTCCGTGGAACCGTGCTATCCCTGTGCCTTTGGTTTTGACCGTGAGTCTGTCTACCCCAACTACACTGTATTCAGTTTGATTTGGATTTTGTCCGACGACCATGGATTTCTGCCGCTGTGCCTCTAGATTGCTGCGTAGATTGTTGGAGCTGTGGTTTGAGGCCAAGACAAGGCACCACACTCACGACCGAATTCATGAAGAAAGCCGGGTACGAAGAAGAGAGTGGATTTTTTTGCAACTGAGTTCAATAACGGCAACCGGCGGGGCAGAAAGCTCGACATCAGGAAACACCACCCGAACCATCGCGTCCATGCACACCGAACAAATAAAAAGAGCACGACTTCGCAATTCAGAATCCGGGCTTCCTTTGCTTCTTCATCAAAACTGAACACTGGAACAAGTACAGTTTTAGATCGCGAACGTTCTGCTCTCCAGTTTCTTGCAAACATTGGTGTGTTTCGAGATATTCAAAATTTGGCGGGTAAGAAAAACAAGCCATTCAAGCTTTGCACTCAAGGTCTGGTGTGACCGCGTCACAGGGATCACGCAAGCCAGCTGAGCGCCAGCGATAACAAGCCCAAAGTGGCTTGTTTCGGTGTGACCGGGGCCTAAAGACCATTTCTTCTGGCACCAAGGGGTAGTCGTTAGTTGAAGGTTTTACTGTACACACGGTTTACTTTAGTTGAGCTACTTTGTCCGGCTTGTTCAAATGTGCACTTCACTTCAAAACTCAATCATTTGTACAAATGAGCACCAGAACTACTTCACCAACCACGTCGCCACCATCACGACAAAGTTTCGCCAGGGAGTGGTCCTGCTGATCCACATGATCAAGCGTATCACCCCAGCCGTAGCCAGCCGCTTGTACACTGGATATGCTCGACCTGTGGTTGAATACGCCTCATCCCTCTGGCAATTTAAACACTCCAGTGCTCAGGCTACTACCCTTGAACGGCTACAGGCAAGAGTGCCACGTGTGGTCCTGCGGCAGTATGGAGTGTACCCTCCTCAAATGGAGCCGAAAGCCTCACTTTTCGCGCACCTCCAGTGGCCTAGCCTCGCAAGGCGAAGACACATTCAGTGCCTTCTTGAGCTCCACCACCTTATCAATAGCCAGATGACGACCTTGGAGGACCTAGGCTACTCAGTGTCAAACAGCGCCAGGCACCGCAACATCTACTCCCACCTGCTAGAGCCGGCACACACACGCGTGCCACCTTTCTCTTTGTCACCACTGCCACATGGAACTCCCTCCCGGCTGCCATTCGTACTGTATCCAGCCCAAAATGTTTTACCGCTCTTGTCCGCAAACACTTTGCTATCATCCGTGATGAGCCCTCTGGTTTTATTCCAAGTAGAGTAGCGATGTCATAGAGCAGTGTGTTATATTACTACCACCCCGGATCATCCTATTTCCTATTTTATTTTTCTCCTCAGCTTCTTTTTCATAAGCTGTTGACGGAGACTCCCTCGACTTAGGGTAAGGCCTGTGGACAATCCATAAATACAAATACAAACCAACTAAAAACTCAACCAAGAGATGGTAGATAGATATCTACTGTATCGTCTCTTGGGCTGACCTTCCAGTTTTCATCGCTGCTGGTGTCTCTGGGCGCATCTGCAAGCGCGTCACCCTGCAAAACATCGCCAGTTTTTTGTCTCCTTCAAGCTACGCTGCATTTCCTTGATTTTGTCTATCATTAGGATTTGACGATCGCCTTCGCCTCTCCCTCGTGCAGTGCAACTGTCAGAATAGCTATAGGGGTTTACACCCGACGTTGCCACGAAACCTTCAAATGAGGGGAACAGGTAAACCACCACGCCCCAGATTACTTCTCATCACCTTGTTCCGCTTACTGACAGTATGTGTCATACAGTCCGACCGTATGCGCTCATCCCTGGTGTATGAATCAATGGGCCACTACCGGTAGTAGTAAACTGTCACTGGAGACGAGATGGAGCTTTCGCATTGGCTTGGTGCAACGATAACGCCTCACGGCTCCGAAAACTCCACACCATCCACGAACCGCATCCGCAGAAAACTTCACTGTTTGTTTATTTTAGTTTTCCAGCCAGTTTCTCGTGGGAAAGGCGACTCCAGGGGTGGTTGTTTTTTTCGATCAGTTTCTCGGCGATCTTGAGTCATCGGCCCCCACATCGTGGACGACTGCGAGATACATCAGTGAGCTGGACAACCCGATGATTGTGCTGCTGCACTAGTTTCTGGATAACGAGTTTGCAGAAAATTCTGCCCAGGAAACAGAGACTGCAGCGACTTTAATCTGTCAGGAGGGAATCAAGAACGATCGCCCTGGAGTTCCTGGTACTCTGTGACAATTCTCCATCATATTGGGGGTCTTGATATCAGCACCAGGCCTTCTCAGTGTTGCAGGTGAAGCAACAATAGTCCTCTGACGACAACATTTGAACGCGAAACGCACGAGTCGTCTAGGAGTTTGAGGTGCTGCCTCCTTTGGAGTTTTGAGCCATTCCTTCCTCAATGTCACAAATCGACAACTGAAGGACACTGTTAGGTAGCTGGGAAGTTTATTCCGTCCTGAGATAATTTGGATTTGCTTGGTAGGCTTCGGAAACGAAGCGCACATTTTAGTAAGTCAGACCAAGTAGAACATAACCACTGGCCAGTGGGTATAATTTAGTAGAGCTACAACATAACCACTGACCAGTGGGTATAATTTAGTAGAGCTACAACATAACCACTGGCCAGTGGGTATAATTTAGTAGAGCTACAACATAACCACTGACCAGTGGGTATAATTTAGTAGAGCTACAACATAACCACTGGCCAGTGGGTATACTTAAGTAGAGGTACAACATATCCACTGGCCAGTGGGTATACTTTAGTAGAGCTACAACATAACCACTGGCCAGTGGGTATACTTTAGTAGAGGTACAACATAACCACTGGCCAGTGGGTATACTTTAGTAGAGCTACAACATAACCACTGACCAGTGGGTATACTTTAGTAGAGGTACAACATAACCACTGGCCAGTGGGTATACTTTAGTAGAGGTACAACATAACCACTGGCCAGTGGGTATACTTTAGTAGAGGTACAACATAACCACTGGCCAGTGGATATACTTTAGTAGAGCTACAACATAACCACTGGCCAGTGGGTATACTTTAGTAGAGGTACAACATAACCACTGGCCAGTGGGTATACTTTAGTAGAGGTACAACATAATCACTGGCCAGTGGGTATAATTTAGTAGAGCTACAACATGACCACTGGCCAGTGGGTATACTTTAGTAGAGGTACAACATAACCACTAGCCAGTGGGTATACTTTAGTAGAGGTGAACGATAAGGGAAAAGGTACTGTAGTTCCTCCAAGGGTACACAACCCCCAAGAGTGTGCTACTCCAGTTTTGTTGTAACACGTTATGAGATGGCAGGATTTCACATCACATGACGAGCTTGCACACAGTATGTTCACACTGTGCATGATAGAAAGAGGGTTGAACGCAACCCTGTTTTGGATTCAACTCTCCTGTGGTCACTTTGCACTGCTTGCCAGCGTAACCTTTTGAATCACGTGTGATGTGAAGTTCTGGCGTAGCAGCACTCGATAAAGGTTGTGTGGGCAGTTGCACTCTCTTGGGGTTATGATTGTACTCTTTGTATCACTAATCTGCAGTTATGAGTTCTGTACATGGGGACCACTGATCCAAGTGTTTTTTGTGGATTTCATGTCAAGTTCCAACCAGTATTTACTATGTCCCTGTCCTCTACCACACACACACTAAGATGAGATATGCTCTGTTTTTGGAAACAAGTCATTTGCACTTTGATTACATGTGTATGGTACTATGCTGCAGTAGAAAGGAAAAATCTGGAACTTGCATGCTTTGCGGGTGATTGTAAGAATGTGTATGTGTGTGTTTGTTTGTTTTTTGCTACGGTGACCTAATAGTACTGCCAACCAGTATCACTTCTACATGTCTGCGCGTTCCGTGGACATAAAGCACTGTGTGAGCTGCTGATAAAAAATGGTGTCGACGTTAATGTCCAAGATGAGGTGAGCTTTGGAGGTGGAATGCACCAATCAAATGCGCTTTGCAACAAACTCTTGTGACATCAAGTATTTTTCAAGGACACCAAACCATTTGTCCTCATGTACTGAACATTGATGCGTACATAGTGCACGGCCTCATGTATGCCCGGGCTGTAGCTGCCACATATTTGACTGGTCCGGAGAGACATTTTTAACTTAAAATGATATGACCGAATCAAGTTACTACAATGTACCAGTACAATGTAGTGCACCTATACAGGTTATACAATTACATCGTCAGTTGAAATGTTTTTGGCGAAGTCGCGGATTCGTGAGTGATCGTGGCACACCGCCGCATATTGAACACATTCCAAAATCTGCTAACTCACCCTCATATACTAGTGTGTCCATTCGAAAATCTCTATGAAATCATTGGTAAAACCTCTAGATGTATACGAATTCTCATAACTTGGAGAAGGATGATTGACACGGTCTTGTGTGGATTGAATAAACGTCTTCAGGCTGCGAAGTGCACTGAATGACCTCTCCGATGTGGCGTTCGTGGCTGGAAGAATAAGCAGCAGGTGAAACAACCAGCAGGCAGGCAGGCAATGACTTGTACAGCTGGTGCAAAGTGAGCAGCTCAGCTCCTTACAACTTACAGCCTGTTTGGGCGCGTTCCTTTCACTCGAGTTGAACCCCCTTTGAACCTTTGAGTTGAACCTTGGTGTAAAAATGTTGTAGCCTGCAGGCACGATGACCAGGTGACTGGTGTACGGACAAGCCCGTGACCGCTTACTCACCCGTGTTTTATTTGGGAATAAGGGCCAAACGCTGCATCGCAGCCTTCTTGGAACAATACCAGTCGACTCAGCATCCAAAAGACTACAACATATTATCGGCCAATCGTGTTCATCCGCGCTTTCATAAGAACGAACTGGCGCTTTTAGTGACATTTTGCATACAAACCCCCCTCTGTGAAATAGTGGTTGCGACTTCGGCGATGATTTTTTTCTAGGAAAGGGTTTGCTGCCACACCGGAGTCAAGTGTCAAGTCAAGTCGTCGGAATAGCGCGAGCTCCAGTGTGGGAGCAAACCCTTTCCTAAATCCCCCTCTGATAGTGTCACCCAGTTTCGGTGGAAGAGCGTGAGTTCGATTGGGGATAAAGGAGGAAGCGTCTCAAATTCCTCGGACCAAGACCATTCGACTAGGCATCCTGAAGACAGAAAGATGGCATTATAGACCAATCCCGAAAAGATTGTCTGGGTTCGAAAGGGGGCATGTCAACTGAGAGTACACTGTACAACACATACATGGCACTGGTAGCCACTACCTGATCAGCATGCGGCACAGGACGTGTTTGATAGTTCGCGAGTGAATGCAAGGGTAAGTACACGGTTAATCCCTGCACCCGTAAATATGCAAGCACCTCCAAGTGAACCCGCACGCCCGCGCTTGGGCACTCGTGCACCCACGCAGTCAGACACAAGCGCACACATGCACGCACACGCCACTGGCGTACCCATGCTCTGACACCCGCACGGCGTACCGCTCACTATGGCGTGCACAAACATACAATAGACACATTGGGTTGGGGGTTGCCAGGATTTCTTTTGGACAATTCAAATATTCAAAAATATGCTCTTTGATAATAATTGAGTGAGTGAAGATGCATGCCTGAAACTAGCATCCGCCCGCCAAGGGCGGACAAATGGCCACCGCGGCCAGCAGCTGCCCGCCGGGGGCTAAACTAGCATACTGCCCACCGAGGGCGCCCGAATGGCTAAACTAGCCGACTGCCCACAGAGGGCGCGCAAATGGCCGCCGAGGCCAGCAAACTGCCCGCTGAGGGCTAAACTAGCATACTGCCCACCAAGGGTGCTTAAATGGTCGCCGCGGCCAGCAAACCGCCCGTCGAGGGCTAAACCAGCAGACAACCCATCGAGGGTGTGCAAATTGCCATCGAGGGTACGCAAATTGCCACCGAGGCCAGCAAACTGCCCACCGTGGGCCGATATTATTTTGCCCGTCGAGGCCACACAAACGGCCACCGAGGCAGCCAATCGCCCACCGAGGGCTCACACGACTGCCTGGCATCAGGCGTCACAACATACAGACATAATAGGAGGCCCGTTTGCCCCAAAAATATAGTAGTACTAGAAACCATGGCATCCTGTTCCCCGCAACCCACGACGAGCTAGCTTTGTGGCCACGGCTGCAAGTGCAGCAAATTACTCACAGTAATACCGTGCCCGTGCAGGCATACACACATTAGTTCTCATGGTTATCATGGTGAGAGCCGCTCACTAACTTACAAGCTAGGCTTCCTGCCGCACGTAATGTTCGCATGCAGAGCTTCTCCAGCGGCCCGCCGGCTTTACTTGCCATTCACATGCCTCATGCTGTGCCATGAGTGAAGCGCCACTGATACGCATGGAGTGAGAGCTGACCTCGTTCGTCCTCAGGGCTAGCTGCAGAATCTTGTTCAGTTCCTCCCTGGTCAGAAACCGGCCAAACCCAAACACAAACACTGGCTCCGTCGCCTCTCTCTGACCCGCAAGGTCTAGATAGGCGGTCAGGGCACGCACAGGGCAGAAGTCGTCGCGCGTCTCGCGCAGCTGTACTTGGCCGCCGTCACCCAGCTGGGCTGTCTTCGTCACCCGCAAGCGAACGACTGCCGATGATACCTGGACGCTGATCTGCTGCCAGGTTAGCGTGCGTGTGCTATCGACTCTTGTTGCATGCGGTGCCAAGAATTCACTCGCCCGCAGGAGGCCGTGGAACGCTGTCAAGACACTGGCCCAGATCATTGCGCGGTCCGACTCGCTGTAGTTGGACCGGAGTAGGAAATGCTGTAAGTCGGCCAGAACTTGCCCAGTGAGACCTCTCCGCGTCGTGGTTGCGGGACCCTGCCTCCTCTCAAGGCCCTTGAGAACTGCAGAAAGACGGACCGACTGCATACAAGTCACAGGAACAGGCTTGCACAGCAAATGATACCGTACCGCTGACAAATACACACGCACAGTCGCCACACACCTCGTACAGGATAGCTCGGTAGCAAATAACAAATCCTCATTGGAGGGTGCAAGGGGATTGACAATATGTGTAACGCAATAATCATTGAAGGCATCAATGCCAGTGGAGAACATTCTCGCTGAGTGTTCCGACACTGAACCTGCTACAAGTGCATCAGCCTCAAGGCCTAGAGCAGCACAGTCCAGCAGGGGCATGGCAATGGCGAAGCAGCCGCCGTTGGCGCCAGTTGACGGAAGCGGGTCAGCTGCAAGTGAGAAAGAGCATCAGCAATGCCGTTATTAGTGCCAGCAATATGGCGGATATACAATATGAAATTGCGCCTAGCAGCAACAGCTAACATAAAGCGGATCAACGCCATGGCCTGCTTGTTCCTACATGAACCATTCTTCCAAGCTCAAACTACCGTCTCATTATCGCAATGAAACAACAGCTTCTTCCCTGCCCAGCACGGACCCCAAATGCAGCAAGCTAGACCAATGGGAACCATTTCCCTAACCATAATAACGCTTAGCTGAGGAGACCAAACTCCTCCGGCCACTTCCCAAAAAAACCGTCGCCCTGGAAGTAGCCCCCGTAGCCCTCGCCGGAGGCATCTGTGAACAACTGGAGGTCAGGAGAACGGGACCAGGGCTGGTCGTGGAAGAAGGCCTTCCCATTCCAGTCGGCCGCAAAGCGATGCCACCAGGCGATGTCAAAGCGCACTTCCTCGTCGATCGCGATCCGGGCAGACATGGCGGAAGCCGCTGTGCTGAGGTCAATGAGGCGCCAAATGAACGTGCGGCCCGCGGGGACCACCTTGGCGGCGAAGGACAGCGTGCCAATGAGGGACAGGAGCTCACGCTTGGAGCAGTCGGTGCGCTGGAGCCAAGTTGCCAGAGCTGTGTGGAGGGCGGACAACTTGGGGGAACCGTGTCACCTGCTCCACACTGTCAACTTCGATCCCCAGGACAGTCATCACAGTCGTTGGAGGGACGACCTTGTCATGGCCGGTAGCCACTGGAACGCCCAAGTTTTCAAACACGGTTAGCAGCGTCGCCTGTTGAATGGCTGCGGTAGATGACGGAGGAGAGGGGCTAGGCGGGGCAACGCCGATGTAGTCGTCCAGATAGTTTTCGAGGTCGGCCAGGGAATAGCTGTGCGGGAGTATCCAACATAGCGCATCTGCCACCAGGTTGAGAAGAGCTGGGGAAGATCGCAGCCCGAATGACAGGACCTTGTCGAAATAATACTGCCCGTCCCACACCATGCCTAGGAGGGGCTAATCGTGTGAGTGGACAGGGATGTTGCGGAATGCGTGGCGGATATCCACCTTGTATATTAGCGCGCCCTTGCCGTGACGGATCACGTGCCCCACGACGACATCCACAGTAATGTACTTGAGGCTGTACAGGTCATCGGGAATGCCATCGTTGATACTAGCGCTGGCCGGCACAGACAGATGCACTATCAGGCGGTGGCCACCCGACTTCTTCGGAATGACACTGATGCCAGCCGAACGGGAGTTGGCGAATGGGGGTTGCCAAATCGGACCGGCCATATGACCAAGCTGAATCTATTTAGCGAGGTAAGCAGGGGAAACAAATGCCGAAGCAAGATTCTCACAAAGGAAAGAATAACGCGGACCGTCATTGCCAACTCTAAAACCATAGTGTAAACCATCTAACAAATGGGCAACATATCCAGGATCAGGGTGTGCGACCAATTCAATTTTTAATGCCTACAGAACAATTGGAGTGTGGGGGGTGTGAGTGGGTAAGGCAGGGTGGGTATGTGTGTGCGAATCAAACACGAATGCATTAAAAACAACAGGAGGTGAGCTGTGTGCGTGGATAAGCCAGGATACAGACTAGCCGGGGCCTCACTGGCCGGTGTGCGCCCCGCACCGGGTGGCAACCTCTGCAGACGTGGCGATATCTACAGTTCCGAAAATTACACCGGCCCTTGTTGTACAGCTCGCACGCTGGCTGGTTCGTGCCGGGCTCGCTCT